TAAAAATCAGTTAACTTTTTTTCCCAGTGGCCCTAATGTTCTTCCGTAGATTCTAAACTCTCTGAGGGTAAAGCCCTCTAAACTGACACCTGATACCTGTTGGCTGTACAGGAGTGAATCCACATCTGGATGCAGAGCAGACACACGCTGACATCATCACTCATCTGGATCTGCTCATAGTGGGCGGAGCTTAGGACTGCGGACAAAGGAGACAATAAACAGCAACAACACAACGATTGAAGTGGATGAATGTGGATTAGATGAGGCAGAGGCCGGGTGAGACGGACCCTGAGGGGTGAGGTGGGGGTGAGCCGAGAGAAGCCAGCTGACGGAATCCATCACCTTCCTGAAGAGAGACGAACTCTGGGAGAAAAACCAAACCAGAGGAGTAACAGACAGTTTCCACCTCATCTCACCACACTGTGGCGCTCACCTGCGATAAACTCATCAGCTGACCGGCCAACGACAGCAGGGCGTCCATGACTGATGGCAGGAACAGCCTATGGAACGTCTCGGATCGGCTGCCTGGCTCCGCCCCCACACAGCTGGAGCTGCAGCAGAGAAAGAGGACAGACAGTTACACAGAACATCTCTTTAAAAACAGATTTTATTATTTTAACAGAAGAGGATTAGGGCCACTGAAGGAAAAAACAAAAAAAAGTTAACAGATTTTTAAATTTTATTTCAGTTTAATATTATAATATTAAATCCTTCATTTATTTCTACTTTATTTACTTTATTTATTTTTAATTACGGCAGGATTGGTCCTCCATACTTATATAGATAGTTAAACGTTTTAAATATTATGTTTAACTGTTGCCATCGAAGTATCTGTAGATATTTAAATCTATTATTTTCTATTATTTCAGTTTAATAAGAGACAAAAAATGTATATTTTTAGATGAATAATTGATCAATGGATGAAGAAATGTCTTATTTATATTATTTTGTCACATTTAATGGCACAAATTCATATTATTGGCTACCTTTTCAAGCAATTGTATATTATTAAGTCATTCTTTTATTTCTGTATGTATTTTTAATGACGGCAGGATTGGTCCTCCATACATATATACATATATATATATATATATATATATATATATATATATATATATATATATATATATAGTAAAAGGTTTTAAATATTATGTTGCCATCAAAGTATCTGCAGATATTTAAATCTATTATTTACTTGTAAAAATCTACGGAAGAGCATTAGGGCCACTGAAACAATAAAAAAAAGTTAACAGATTTTTAAATATTTCAGTTTAATAAGAGACAAAGTCAGAATTCTGACTTTAATCTCAGAATTCGGATTTTTGTTTCAGTTAAAACCTCGTCTCATAATATTACAACTTTATTCTCCTAATTCTAAGACTTTATTCCGGACTTTATTCTCTTTATATCACGACTTTATTCTTGGACTTTATTCCCGTAACGTTAGAATTTATTCTCCTAATGTCACGACTCTATTCTGAAGATAAAAAATAAATAACATCTCTAAGCCGGCCCTAGTGTTCCGTCGCACCACAGCAGTGTTTCCTTGTAAGGATTTGATCTTAAACCCACAGGT